TTGAAGTACCATATGAAATATTATGAATATTCCCTTTCATTGTAGTACTATGGTCCAAACCCATTGTTGGTATACCACGGTAAGACCTATCATGTGATATCATCACAGTACTGATGATGCAAATACCATGATAGTGCCATGGTACCATGTTAGTGTATTTATGTTTTTGCATGTGATTCCATCATGGTACTACAGTGTTTTAAATTTTTCGAAGTACCATTGATTGCATGCATGACTTAATTCTTGTTAATTATTCATGTTTAATGTAAATCTTGGCATTAAATAAATATCAACAGTTTTATCTATATCAATATTTGATTAGGTATCAATAATGTTTACATTTTGATTTTAAACAAATGCACTTGAAATGGAGAACTTATGCAAGCAGTGAGGAGAAAACTGAAAGAAAGATCAAACTACGTACAAATGGATGTCTAAAGCATGTTGTAAACAGCCTCTTAATAATATTTGGAAGGAACAGTAGCCCAAATACCCATGAAAGCTGTTTTCACTGGTTTGTTTGTTTGTTTATATCTGCTAATTTTTCAGTCTAATTCTTGCTTTTTTTTTTGTGAAACATTTGCTGTTTGTTAAGACAGCCCCATGAAAAACTGCAGATGGCAAGTCACAAGATATATTTGATATATATACATACGCTCACTCTTTTCGCTCTTTTTTCCACAGATCTTTAATGATACCCTCAACTTTATATGATAAAATAAACAAACCCCGACCTCAAAGCTGCGGAGAACAGGAAGGGGATCTGCACGATCCAGGGCGCCACAACCACAGCAAACTGCAATCTGTGTTCCACTGTGTTTGGAAAAATAAACCCAGATCTTCTAAACCATCTAAATATAGAGGGATGAAATAGTCAGGCTAAAATTGTGGGTTGACAGAAAGGTCAAAAGTGGATTTCTGCCTCAGGTAAGCGACATTAATGGTGGAATACACGCAATACGACATCCTGAAACGAGCACAATTACTCAACAGCTGAAAGGTAAATTGGACTGATGTTGGTGGAGATCAGGTGACGTGGGCAGGGTGAGCATCAGGCTGTTAACCATGAGTTTCCATGAGGCAGAGAGGAGGCCGGCTCTCTTTCCGAGGCAGTCTTTCAGGCAGATGTTACGGAACCTGTTCCTTGTCCAGATGCATTGGCAACTTTTGGCTCTCCTCTCCCTTGTTTGTCAGACGCTTATATTGACTTTAGCTGCGAGAAAACGAAGTGGTAAGATCATATCTGCTTTTAAATGATAATGCTTATTTGCAAAATAATCAACTATACACTTACAAAAAGTACCAAATACTATAGTTTATGGACATATTACATTCTCAGAAAAAAGGTACAACGTTTATCACTGGGGCGGTACCTTTTTAAAACTTGCTCAAATTTACCGTTTAGGTTCCAAAATGTACTTTTAAGGTACTAATGTGTACTCTTTAGGGGTAAATAAGACATAAAAGTGTATCTTTTTTTTCTGAGAGTGTACCACGGTATTCTTCAAATTCTTCTATATGAAGCATGGTAGTGAAATTCTTGTGCCGTGGTACTTTTTTGTTATGGTCATTTCAAAATGTGTACCAATACCAAATATTGCATGTTTACACAAATGTTGATTTGTTTCATGCAAAGAATAGTTCTGACTCTCATATCTGATTGGGTGAGCCAGATTCAAATTGGTTTAAATAGATGTGATTTATGCGAATAGACAGGTGTGTGATTATTAGTAAAATTATAAAGTGAGGATACTTGGCAACCGTAATATATTTTGATTTTGTTTCATTAAATATATGCATATTTATTGAACACGCTGTCACCATTTAATGACAGTAATAAGTTACTTGAGGCTGTGTGTTACAGTGATTTTCCCTGGCTATTTGAAGCTTAGAATTGTAATATGGCACGTTTCTGTTCTAGTTGTTGTGATTTGGCATCCTGTTGAAATAAGATAATTATAAGAGATTATAATTTTGCTTTAGAAAACACTTTAGAGATTCAATTAAAAATGAAAGTGTTACAGTGATGCTCTGAAACTTTATACCTGCAATCTAAATGAAATTTTTTTTTAAATGGTATTGACTTTATCTTGTATCGACTGACAGTTGTAAAGTCAACGCATACGATGTATTATCTGTGATGAGGCTTTAGGTGTGTACACCATGTGGATCATATTTATGTGCATATTTTCAGCGGAACAAGACTGAAATATAGACCAGTTGGTAATAAATCTTGATGCACTGCAGCAAGATCTGTCCGTTTATTTATCACTGATTTTCCAGAATAGTCACGAAGCATTAGATCTAATTTATGATGGCTGAGACTTTACTCTGCTTCAGTATGTGTTGCTTTAGGTATTGATTTTTTTTTCCTCAAAAGAGTGACTAAAACCCCCTCATGTTATGCTTGAAAGCTTGAAATTAAATCAAAGATGGTTATATACTGCATCTCTCTCTCTCTCTCTCGCTCTATCTATCTAGCTATCGTAAAAGCACAAGCAAATGAATTAAATTGCTAAATTGTCTGAAACCCTTGTTTTCAACTACTCTTTATGTTTATATAACTTACCAGTTATGTATCAATACAAACTAGCACTAATTTGTTTGTAAAACCTGCAAATAAAAAAGTAAAAAAAAATATATATAATAATAAAAAAAAAATCAAGAATAGAGATGTTTTACAGAGCAAAAACACACAGACTTTTCTCAGTTCAATACAGCGTCTCAGAGCACATTCAGTCACCCATAAGTGTTGTAGAAGTATCTGTATATTTTCTCAGTTTCATTTGATTGACATCCATGCAGAAAATAGTGAACAATATATTGATGAGAATTCAGCGGAAGCATCTCTGCTTGGCTCAACGACGTCTTTTGAGACAGTGGTGTCTCTCTTTACTTCCCTAATGAAGATCAGAACCATCTGGCAGTTTCCTCACCTCTCCCCTGCAAACCCTCTCCAGTGGCTCAGTGCGACACAACACACGCAGACAAGACTCTTCAATCTCCAGTCTCTGGCTTTAGCATTGGTCGGATTTCTAGATATCGTCTACCAGGAGAAACTCTTAAGTCTTGATTGCATCACAATTAATCATGATAATGCACACATCAAAATTCAAATCCTGCATTGCTAAAATGCACACTGCAATAGCTTATTGAGTTTAGTTGGGTGACAGAAAGAAGCTGGGCCCTTTTTAAGAAGCCACAGAGATGACATACAGGCTTTTGGCCTTTAGAATGTCATCTCAAAACCCTCAAATGTCACCGCAGAAAGTGTAATGTGTCAGATAATGTGACTGCACATAAATCCCAGTGCGCAGTCTTAGACACGCTCCCTTGCGATGATACATTTCCTGTTTGCTAATAATGATTTGAAATGCTTTTCAGAGAGCTGGCGACAGGACTGCAGGAGCTGTCTGGAGTGTTCGAAGGAAAATGGCTGCCTGCGCTGCTCTGAGCGCCTCTTCCTGTTCCTGAACAGAGATGGCATGAGTCACCACGGCTCTTGTGTTCACTCCTGTCCCTCCGGACACTTCGGCCTCCGAGGCAAAGATCTCAACCACTGCATGAGTGAGTCCATCCTAGAAAATAGTTCATGTATATCAAATAAGTGTACAGTAATATCTGTAATATAATATACTATATATAATATAATATCAGTAATATCCAAACCTCTTGGAAGATATGGATTACTTTATTATTATTATTATTATTATTATTATTATTATTATTATTATTATTATTATTATTATTATTATTATTATTATTATTATTATTATTATTATTATTATTATTATTATTATTATTATTATTATTATTATTATTATTATTATTATTATTATTATTATTATTATTATTATTATTATTATTATTATTAT